ATCATTCCTTTTTTATAGAAACCATTAGTATAGAAGATAGGCTAATCAGCATATTCCTTCTTTATATTTCAGAATACTTATAAATTCATAGTTTGTTCTATTAGTATAATGTTTGTCTTTTACCTGGATTTCTACTTTTATGGATCCGATAGTTGGTAAAATTACTATTTGTTAGTATATATTTATTTATCAATTTATAGAATTTTTTAATAAAAGAATCTGTTTTCTTTTTCTCAGATTATTATATTTGTTTAATTATGAAAAGAGATAGACTTGTGACAGAACTACTTCTATTGATTGTACTGTTCTATTTGGTTGAAAAAAAATATGATTACTAGCAAGATTATATACTGGCTAATATGGGATGAAATAAAATTTATTGTTTACAAATATTGTCTTTTTTAATATATCTGTTAAAGTATTGTATAGATTATTCAATATATTTTTCTTCTATCTAGGTTTGTTGGGAATGGTTTAGTTTGCATATTGCAAACTATATATTTAAGTCTATGTAAAGAGATTCATAAAAAATCTCGATTCATTGTTATCTTTTTATGAACTTTTTTATATCAGGGGATAAAGATGGATTCTTAAAGGGGAAAGCAGGGACAAAAGTCAAATGTTCCTTATTAGGAAACATTAAAATTTTTAAATTAATAATTATAAAAAAACTATTCATAATTGTTTTTTATTATCCAAATCATTAATTTATAACATTTTCTAATCTTTATCACTATTAAAGTGAAGAGCTATGAAGTTTGTTTCTTAAAAAGAAACATAAGTTATCTGCAAAATTTTATATGCTAAATACTTTAGAAACTTATCATTATCTATAGAACCTTGTTTATATTTTGCTACCAATATATTTCGTGTCAACCAATTAAAAGCCAGATAATATTGTGCTATTAAAAATTCAGGATCAAGCTGAGTAGGCAAAATTCTTCAAAAAAACCATGAAAAAACAATAGATACTTTAAGAAAGCAAGAGACAATATGTGAGAAGATGAATAATAAGCTTTTTTCTATTCAGAAAACCTTTATCTTCATATTATATCCAGTTTTCAAAGAAGATATTTTATAAGTTGATTTTTTTATTTCCTAGAAATTTCTTGTCTTTAATAAAGGAAATATGTGCTTAAGTCTATTCAGGTTATCAAAGGTTTAAGTTTTTATTTAAAAAAGTTTGTAAATAAGTAAAAGAGAGTAATAGTGACTCTTGAAGATAAGCTTCAAATTATTTTAAGAAAAATAGGAAGACTTTATTAGTCAAGAAGAATAAAATCTTCTTGTAAACATTTTTTTTTGTGTGTGGTCAAAGGATTAGTATAGTAGGTTAGGTCTAACATTAATTGTCTTATATATTACTATTTTTTTTTTTAATCTAGGTTAGTCTGACATGGCTTATCTTTATTGTATATTTAAAATGTTATACAATTTCAAAGATTTTTACATGATAGCTCACCTATCTTAAAAGTTTAACTTCTTTAAATGCAACTTAGGAAATGGTATTTTGTTTTTTTAATAACTTGGATTATCCTTTAGCTATCAAGTTCATTGCTTACAGATCATTATTGTAAATTGTTTTATATATTATATATATATATTAATTATAATTTATTATAGTTTATTTTTAACAAGTTTACTACTTTTCAATAAAAAAGTGAACTTATTTAAAAGCTGAATAGTTAATATATAGTTATTAATAATATGAGTGATATAATTAATTTAAAACCAATCACAACTCTTTCCGCTGATCCTCTGACCACATACAAAAAAGACGTTCGCAAGAAGTTTCTATACCTCTAGGCTAACAAAGTCTTATCACTCTCTTTAAACTAACCTAAAAGGGCTTTCCTCAGGACTCCACCACTTCCTTTCCATATTGTCTACAATCTTTCTCAAACAATACTGGACTCTTATGACCTGCAAAGTTCAGTACTCACCTTGACTACCAATGGCAAGAAAGTTCCTTAAGGGAGAAGGATTAACAGCCAAGTACCTGCCACCTATCAGTTGAAATGGAGGAAACAAAACAAGTACCTGAGAGAGGATTTCTCCCATCCAAAGGACTCATTTTTCACCCTTGAAATGGTTGTGTGCTCTCTTAGAGCTACCACTTTTCATGGCTTTCTAGTGAATTTTGCCTATCCCAGCTTGACCCTGAAATTTTGAGTAGCACAAATTCCATGAATTCTGATTGGTCAACACGAAATGCATTGGACAAGATTGATAAACAAGCTCCCATTGATCATATCACGTATCTGAATGCATTTCCTTAGCTTCATAAGAACCTGGGGTCTACCATAAGTCATATATGTTGGTGCGGGTGAATACAGGACACGAACTGCCACATCATTGAATATAAGAAAGTGCACATCCACCACGGACCAATTATTTGATCAGGATACAAAGAAGGACTAGCTTACTTATACCTGCCAATAGAGACAAATATTAGCCTGGTATGATGCTGAAAGCATAAGACAGTCCACAAATTGACATGGATCGAGCAATATGATGTCTTTCACACAAGATTGAATCCATATATATCGACAAGACAGACAGTGATACAAGACAGGACAAAATATTTTTTTTTCTTCTTTAAGTGCTAACGAGATCTTCTCGTATAAGGGACTCCTAACACCGGTGGTGTTGGATATCTTAGGCAAGTTCTTAGCACGTTAGTTTCACTTAACAGGGATAGCAACAAGTCATCCAGTGTGAAAAACTCTAGGAAGCAGAGGTTCTAGAGATAGGTTTAATGGTCAGTGTCCCTCCAATGAAAAAGATTCCCTAACTCTTATAACTTGTTAGAGTTTAGAGAAAGTCCTACACTAGACAGTCAATAGTTACCCCCTTTCTGATTGGGTGAGACATAAATAGATGCCCCTTTGTACTATTCGTTGATCTGTAAATCCTTAGGTAGTAAAGGTAATTAGTTATCCCGGTTGTCCCTAGGACATATCTTGATTTTAATAAAGCATATGCATTAACGCAGGAATGAGCTAGCATTTAAAAAAAAAAAAAAAAAATTAATTTAAAACTATTATATTGATTTATTTTTATTATAATATTTATATTGACTTATACTATATATTAATAATTAAATCTTCTGAAATTAATTAATCACATAAATATTTTAATATTTTTTTTGCTTAAATCTTAAAATAATTTTTAATCTTTATTGTTATTACTTATGATATTATAACCTAGTTCTATTTAACAATTCTTTTTAAGTATTAAATTAAAATATTTCAAGCTAAAATAATCAAATTTTAAAGTTTGATAATATAATTTGTGTTAATAAATATTTAAATAATTATTGCAATTTTACAAGTAAGGTTTTGAAAAAAAATTTTTTGTTTAATTTAAAAAAATAAATAAATATACTTCATATAACTAGATTAATAATCTTTTTTTATATAAATTTTATTACAAATTTATTTTTGTTGATAATTAATATAAGATTAGAAGTTTTATTCTTATATAACTTGATTATTTTTTTATATAACTTTTATGTAATATTAAATTTTGGATTTAGTAATTGTGACTTAAAAATATTGACACTATACTATAGATTTATAAGCTTTAAGTTTTTTTATTTTTTATAATTTTTAAAATTATAATTATTTATCTATTTAAATAAATATCAAATTAAGATATTTTTATATTAAAAAGTTTTGATTTTTAAATATTTCAAATTTCAAAAATTATAATATCTTGTTATTATTTAAAACATTATAAATAAATTTTTATTAGTAAAACTTTTATTTAAATAAGTATTAAATTAAAATTTGATTAATATTTACAGAATGTTTATAGAATATTAAAAAAAAATGATATAATATTATTAAAAATTCTTGTAAAAATATTATATTATTTAAAGGTTTTTTAAAAAATAAATAAAAATATATATTTTTAAAAATTTTTTTCTAACTTCAAATTAAAAAAAAACCCCCCCGAAAATTGATTAAAATTGAAAGATAATTAAAATTTTTAACAAAATACAATAATGAAAATCCTTCTAATCTTATCATTCTAATTAAATAAAGTTTTAAAAGCCTTTTTTCTATTTTTAACCAATTTTATGAATCAATAGAATTTTGAATTCTTATATTTAATTTTTTTCTTATCATATACATATAATAATTCTTAATCAAATATATTATAAAGTTATACTTAAATATAGGATCCCGAAAGCCGGAATCGCATAGACTCGCATATAGTTACGAGTCTTCAAATTTAAGGTAGGTCACAACCATAAATAAATTTAATGTAGAATCAAAAATCGAAGCTCGACTCGACTCCAAATAGACTATACAGTATATATTTAAAAAATATAAACAATAAATACATTTTGAAAAAATGAATCTTCTTCAGATTTTCTGAAAGTGGTTTACTAGTTAAATGATGAAATACAATATATACATGTATAACATCTAGTTTCTTTGATCCTCATCATATGCGATATACTGAAGAATCCTCGAATAAATAAATGTTTTATAGTGATATATAACAATACGTGATTGCATGTGCCCAACAATCTAGTATCAGATGAATGCCTTATAAAATAAAATCTATTTTGCTGCATTAAATAATCCTTGGATAATCAATATTAAAGGTAATGCATCAATGTGTACTTCCAATAGAGTTGCAAATTGTTCTTCGGCCAGAATAAATATTGCTGACAAATAATTTCCGATCTATTTTTCAAAAACTCCTTGATATTGTAAGGATATTGCATAATAATATTGCAATACCAAATCCAGAATCCCATATCAGATAAGAAAAGTGTTGTAAAAGATATAGTGATTGAATCTCCTTTTTACAAATACCACTAATTATAAATAAGGTAAACAGAGAAGAATCAATCGCGTTTTCTTTTCTTCCTTTTCTCCTCCATCACCGCTTCACTTATACGCGTCTGAACTAGAAAAGTAAATTGAATGAGTGAATACAAATTTATATTGATACATGAGTTTTAGAAATATTAATGCACTTACTAAAATAGTGTCCACTTCTGTGAGTCCAGGAGACCCAATTCTCTTGATATGCGACAACATTAACGTTCTCTACTGCTATCAGATCAGATCTTTTGGTCTCGGTTACCGAACCCCCAAAGCTTAATAGGGAGACTATTTGGCATGTTGGCGGTAAGTCCAGGAAAAGATTACTCAGTAAGAAATTTAACTCTGGACTGAAATTTAAGTTGTTCACTAAAACCACAGAAGCTTTCTTGAAAGAATCAAATAATTCTCTATTCTTTGAAAGGGAATTTAGATCAATTTTCGCAACTGAAATTTTCCCAGGTTTTACGCCATATAAACTGTTATAAAATTTAGGACATGAAATAAAGAATAAATACCATGATTCACGCGTAAAAAAGGAAGAAAATTAACAGAGCAAACCCACTTGCATCTTTCTAGGAACTCCTTTGACTGTCGAACTGAAATTTGATAACGTGCGTCGTTGATCTCAACCCCATAGACACTGCACCCCACTTGAGCGGCCACTTGCAATAGAACATTCCCAACACCTGAACCCAGATCAAAAAATATAGAGTCACTGTTCATTTTAGTTTTCTCAATGATATCATCAATGAAAGGAGGTAAGAGTTCTCCATAGTCCTCGCTCTTTCCACGACCTTTTCTCAAGATATGAAGCTAAATTATTAGTTATATGACCCGAAGTACGAAGCTCGACTTCGGAAAAAAAAAAAAAAAAAAAAAAAAAAAAACGCACCATTTTACCTTTTTTAATCAAGTCCACATGTGGAGCGACTACGCGATCATAGACTTGCTGAACAATGTGGTGAATCAATTGGCGATATTCAGAATTGTTCGGATCCGGGTTGATCACATGATCGGCAAGGAGTCCACCCCTTTTCTTTTCCTCTTGCAGGTATTGATTAAATATATCGATCGCGTTGACGAAATCATCAAAGTTTCCCCGATTCTTAGCTCTGTCAAGCCTCCGCTCAATATTACCCTTTTTTGTAGGCTTTTCTTCTTTAAGCAAAATATCCGGGTTCTCGAATTTCTCAGCTGCCTCCGGAGTCAACATCGTTTCAATGATTACTTTCACCGTTCGTAAAAGATCATCGATGGGCCTGTATTCATCTTTATTGCGGTGGCCTATACATTCGGCAACCAGATATCTGTGAACAACCAACTGTAAATTATTAAGCGCTCATTAAATAAGAAACATCAGATGTCAAGAATAAGATACCTCTCTTGAACTTCAGATCCAGGGTGTTCCAATCTGACTTCCAATATTCCTTCATAGTTCATAGATTTTCGGTACTCGTCGTCATGATTTTTTGCCTTTGGACGACAAACTAAATATGGAATATTGTTAGAGACAAATGAAATCAAGAACCCATAATTCCACTACTTACAGTCCTCATATCGTCGTTTCTTGTCTTTATTCTCTTTGTTAAATTCAATTATTATGTCGCTAGAATGAATAATGTTAGATGCTTCCGCCACATACTCGACAGATTTGAATATAGGGATTTGATCGGTCGGAATTTCAGGAAGATTGCGCGAGCAGGATTTTTTTGCAGATTTTGATTTCGCGACTGCGTTGGGCTCCACGAACTGCGTACTCTCATCATTGGTGGAGATAGATGTTTTCAGTTTTTTAGAGGGCCCAGGTGATGTTTCATTGTCAATCAGGTTTGTGTGCGTATCTTCCGGAATCGTCTGTTGAATTTTTGAAGTGGCAATTTTTTTCGAAGGCCTTTTACTCTTTTCTTTGCCTTCCTCGTTAATTTCCCGAGAGTGAGTAACAACAGGCTTGGAGGAAACCTATCGGAAGAAATTAGAACCACAATTATCAGAAAGAATTAAGAAATTTTGTTCCACCAGTTTTGGGTCAAACTTAACCTTGTTTGTGTCTTTCATTTTTCGAGAGCAAGGACGTCTCGTCGAAGAGCTTTTGTTATCTTTGGGATTCTCGACGCGATCTTTCTTTATTAGGGGAGAGGTGAACATCCAGTCGTAACGGTCAAAGTCTGAGTTTGACATTTGGCGAGTGTTTATTATATGTTGCGGTGGAAGGAAAAGTGCGTTCCGATCATTGATGCATTGCTGTAAACAAGAATTTTTAGTCACGTGATGATCCAAATTCAACACCTTACGTAATTGGTGTTTGATGCATTGCGTAGTTTCCTTAATTAAGCAGTATGACAGTATAATTAAAGAAAACACTTGTCCACAACTTTAATCATTGCTTGTGTGTTTAGACACTTCTGTGACAACAAACATGAATTTTTATCATTATGAACGTAGTTCATTGGTAGGAGGTTCTTCGGTATAAGACTAATTAATTTTACCTCATTCATTGAAGTGCGTATGTGTAGACATATGAATTTGAATTTTGAATTGGTTGTAAGTAAATGTTGGTGCTGCTATGTTCCACGGAAAATCCGGTGCTCGAGGCATATAATAATTATAATTTCGAGGATTCTTTCATCCTTTTAGTAGCCATTAGAATCCATTAATTTCAACCATGCAATACAATTTTTGACAGCTGTCCTGTCGCAATTTTATTTCACAAATGTTTCCTCGTGTAACATTCAACATTCTTCCCAGGATCTTGCAATCCTTTTTACATCATCATCTCTCGTTTAAATGAATAAATCAAACAGATATACAGTAGTTGCAAATGATAGCAGATTACTACTCGTTTTAATGATTTATTTGAACTTTAACGCGTTTCAACGTTCTGATTTGTGTTACTCGTCTGTACAGGAAAAAACTTTTTATTTACCAAAAAAATACAGCATTAAGCTCAATTGTGAAAATAAATTACACTGTTAAATAATGAGTTTTTTTCTTAATTTATTCAACAGAAGATGAGGCATTGACCGCTTCCTTGATATAGATTTCAGCTTTTCTCCCAAATCTATTAATGCCAGTGTCAATATCTCCCTGGTAGGTCAATAAGGTGGGCCTCAAGAATTTAACGTAGACAGTTTGGGCGCCTCTGAAGGGTGGAAGGAAAAGCCTAATTATAATAAAGAAGTTATATATTAATTCAACGGAAATCTTTAATAATCCAAATGCGTCCATCCGAATTCCTGCTTACCAGAGGAAAAAGAGTGTCTTAAAGAGATAATAGAAAGGCATCCAGTAAAGAATGAGGTCCGAGAAAAATTCTAAAAGATTGACGAAACCAAATACGGTCCTAAAATCGGAATTCGTAAAATTATGACCAAAGATGTAATTAAGTTGCAAATATGTAAATATCAAAATGCGGATTGTGTAGACTCTTACCAATACGTCAACCATTGAGTATCATCCTTACTATCAGGGGTCTCGATGGCCTTGAAAGAAGCATACGCTAAAAAAAAAAAAGAGGGAGCATTAACACATTTTATCAAGCTTTGCCTTTAATTCAACGTCAGAATTGAAGAGAGGCGCAGTAAAATAAGGAGTCTTGCAAATATTATGCGAAGAATACCTGGATAGAGCCAGCCGATAGAGTTGGAAAGAAATTGTCCCCAGAAGTTAAAAAAAATCAAGAGGAACACGAGGCCGACAGCACCGTATGCGACATAGGTCTTTGGAAAACCTATCCTTTGTTCCAACTGATTGAATATAGGATATTTTGAAAGCTCTTTGTCGGTTTGTGAATTATAATATTGGAATTTGGCTTGAATTCCCTCCATTTTATTGCTCGTATAAAGTTCTTTAAGAAATTTTATCGTAGAGTCAAATCGTAAAGGGTGAGTAACTGCAAAAACGCAAATTCTTGACTTTATCATCTCATTGAAATGTGTCACAATTCGTTGATAAACCATTAATTTAGTAAGGACATTGTAAATCCAATGCAGTCCTGGAACAAATAATTTTGCACCACGAAAGTGTTACATTATGGAAAATAATTATTTGTTTATATATAAACGGGGTAGTCGAGTGTCATACTTTTTTGTAAAAAAACCGGTTTCAAACAATATTTACATATTTCTTTTTGTCCAAGGAAAATTTCTTTACACCCGATTCTAGTCCTGTTACCTAAAATTATACGAGTGGAACTCGCAAATACGCTGAATACACTGTGTATATACTGTGCTTAAAAAATCCTAAAAACTGGTTTTTCTTTTAAAGTTTTAAAAAATTTAATTTTTTATTTTACTATGTTTTTATTATAAATTTCAACTTTGACAATTTTTAAATCATTAATTATACAGCCAAAAATTATAAAATTTATATATATTATGTCTTTAATACTTTTATTTTATTTCTTATTTTTTTTAAAAAAATTTTTTATTAATATATTTACAATAGAGTAAAAATTTGATAAAAGAAAGAAATTTTTTAACAATAATAAAACTTTAAAAATATCAAAAATTTTTGAAAAAAATATAATAAATAAAACTAGTATTAAAATATAATATATATAAATTTTATAATTTTTGATAATATAATTAAGGATTTAAAAATTGTCAAAGTTGAAATTTATAATAAAAACATAGTAAGCGGACTCAAACTTTTGGAAGCAACTGTATACTTATTTTAATAATATGGCTAATAATTAAAAGAGAAAAATCTTTAAAATATATTTTTTCAATTAAACAAATTTTTTAAATAAATTATTATGATTTTAAAAAACAAATAACAAAAAGTAAACAATAGACTTTTATTTATTATTAAGTTTTTTATGTAATAAAAAAGTTTTGTTAAATAAAGACTAAAATTTTTAAGTCTTTATTCTAATCAAGCAAAATTCTTAAAAGGATTTTTTTATTTTGATTAAGCAAATCTTTTTATAATATAATATTAATATATATTATAATTATATATTATAACCTATATTTTACAGTGATGACCTGTAAGCAATGAGCTTGATAGTTAAAGGATAATCCAAGTTATTAAGAGAGCAAAATATCATCTCCTAAGTTGCATCTAGAGAAAATAAACTTCTAAGATGGGTGAGCTGTCATGTGAAAATCTTTGAAATTGTATAATATTTGAAATACACAATAAAAATAAGCTGTGTCAGCCTAATGGCAGATTAAATATATATATATATATATATATATATTATAACCTATATAAAATCTTAGATCAATAACTTAATTTTTTTTAAACCCTTTATTAGATTAGATATGTGTACTTTATTAAACATATATATACTTTACATTAAAAATATATCGCAAAAGCTAGACCTGTGGATCTATAGTATAGTAGCAGTGCTTCCAGGTCACAATCACAAGGTTCAGAGTTCAATATCACACAAGAACCATATGAGAAAAAATAACCAGGTTGCACGAGGATGGGACTTCTGGCCTTCCTGTTGATCACTAGGCTAAAAAGGATCTACTGTGAGAATTGCATAAAGAAAGGCCTCTAGTCTGATTACATGAATTATGCTCAACCTAACCCCTCCTAAATTGGATAGAAAACAAATCCCAGGATCCTGCTTTTAGAACTGTAATAATCATCTAAACACATCACTAACCCCAAACTGTACCAGCAGACTCTGGGACCCCACTTTTAAGACTGCAGCAATCATCTGAACATTCTCTACCCCAAACTGTACCAACAGAATCTGGAATCTGACTACCCTAACTTGGAATATTCTAATCTGGTGCTTATTTAAATGAAGGACCTGTCGAACAAGACTTGTCTATGATACTGCAGATAGTAACAAAGAAGATAGAAATCCCTTCTAAGGTTCAAGTAAAAAGTATCAAGGTATTTGGGTGGTTAAAATAACCCTTGAGGATTTGACACTAGTATATAAGTTAGCATAGTAGTCCCTTATTAATAGAATTAGCTAACTATACCAACATCACTGTTGATGACTGTTATCAACCATCCGGTCCCTAGTCAGACATGCCCACCTATAGAAGGGTTTCAAGCAGATCTGTCTAGAACAAACTATAATAGGTTATAATTAATCTGCATATATATGTATGAGATAATTAATGTAACACTTAAGATTTAATTATCAATAAATAGCTCACATCTAATACCAGTTGCAATTTAAAAAAAAAATGTATCGCTAAAGCTAAGTCTCTACCTAATTCACTTATCTTTATTTTAAAAATTATTAAAACTCTAAGTGCAACTTTGGAAGTAATTTATTATTCCATTAACAATTCAAGTAAAGACCCTTCTAACTGTTAACTTCATTATTTACAAATCACTACTGCAGATCACTCTATAAGGTTTTGACAAAGCTTAAAACCAAACTATTTCATTCTATACTCTACTCTTCTTGTTAAAATTTCTTGGAAGCTTTTATTTTCAAGATTTCCTTTTTCAGGTAATGAATTTCTTTTCTTTAAGATTATTGTTTTTTGGTCTAATAAACAAAAAGGTCTTTTCATTTTACTTTTTTATTAATTCCTTATGTTTATTTCTATTCAATTACTTTTTTGTATCTCTTGTTTCAGGCTTCATTTTAAATTTGATTGTAGACTTTTTTTTGTATTTTTATTATCCACTTTCTTGCTATTCTTCCTATACACTTATCTTGGCATTTTAGATCTATACTTCTAAGATAAGATCAGTTTTTATAAGGTTAATACAGAAACTTAGTATATTCTGACTGGTTCCAGAAGTCTGTTTTACTACTTTAGCAATTTACTTGTCAAACTCTCCTATTTCTTCATGGTCATCAATGATCATCCTGAAATTTTTTTTTTCAGCCTCTTTCTTTCTTTTTCACAATAGCTCTTTAAAGTTTCTAATAATTCCATCTACTCCTTTATTTTATGCCTTTTGTAGCTAATATTTATAGGCTGAATATTCTAGCAAGTATTCTATAGTTTTATATTGTTGATTATATATAATACATTTTACTTACTTGTATAGATCTGGTTTTCTTACAGCCAACTTACTTAAGGTAGATAACTCATCATTGGCTAGCTTAATAAGAAAGCTTCTTTGTTGAAATTGTTTAAAAAATATATCCTATGTGTATTCATATTTAACTCTTTCCCATACTAGGTTCCATGTGTGAGTCTAATATTCTGAAATCTGATGACTCTATTTTTTCTCTATTCTGTTTTGTTGTATTCACTGATAAGCTGTTGTTTTATTATTAATATTCTTAAAAAACTATCTAATTGAATCATCTAGAGTTGTCCCTTGTCACTTGATTTCAGTTATAATTTTGTGTTAAGTGAGATCTTTCCATTTAATTGGCGGAAATTTTAGGGCTTCCTTAATTAAGATATTTGTTTCTTAATTATAAGAGTCATTTGAGTATGCCTTGACTTTTGTGAGCTTTAGATCTATATTTTTTTTTTATTAACTCTACCATATATATCTATAGAAACCAATTTTTTTCTTTAAGCCATCTTTTGTATATCCTTTTCAGGTCTTTTTTTCTAAGGATTTTTACTTGTAAATATATGCTTGATTATCTGTAAAGATCTCTACTATACTTTCAATTGAAACTCCAAAAGTATTGTTATAATTGCTACCAATTCTGCTTTTATAAACAAGAGTTAATTGTTTATTTCTATTTGGAACTTGCTTTCCTTTTCTTCTTTTTCTATTTGGATTTGGGCTGCTTCCATCTTTATATCTTCTTTTCCATGATTAGTAAGTAGTCCATCAGAATAAAAGATTAGTATCCAAAGTCACATTGAAGTATATTTATTAGATGATCTTGATATACTCCTTCTCTAATATGTTCTTTGATAATAGATTTTTGCCAAGTTTCTATGTTTATATGATTTACTTTATTGTTTTGGATCTTGAAAGGGCTTTGATTAATATAAATTACTTCTTTGATTCTTTTTTCAAGTACTAACTTGAAAGTTGGGAATTTTTAAGTCTCATGTTCTTCTAGTGGACTTTTTTATATTGATATATAATATTATATATATTTCTTCTATTTCTCTTTCAATAATACTGTTACTATTTAATATTGTGTCTTCCAAATATCTCTGGCATTTTTGTATATTGATCTTCTGATCATTATTAGAATTATAACTGGTAAAATACTTTATTATTATAATATTTTTC